ATAATTGCAAATTTAGTATTATTTAATCTCACATGCATTCTGTACCGTTTCTCTTGAAACCACTGTCTTATACTGAAAAAATAAAAGTCTTAGCAGCAATAATTCTCCCAGCCCCTGAAACACATCCATCTTGTCATCTTGTCTACAGTAAAACATGTTTTTTAGTTTTGGGTGAATTTTTTTTAACATTCCACTCTGGAAAACAAAGAATACTGAATGCCTTGCTTTATACCAGTAGAGCTCATCAGACTCATTATTTCTATTTAAAATTTGATGAAGTAACACTCAAACACTCTGAATGAATTCATACACTAACAGTAACTTAAGTAAGAGTAATTGTACCTGCCTGCTCTGGAATAATTTTATTTAACACCAGTTAGCATAATATGTAAGGATCCACTAAGTTCAAATGATTCCCTATTAGGAAGCTCCACTGAATCATTTTTCAGCCCATTTTAACTGAACAAAACTTTTCCCTAGAATCAGTTTCTGAAAGCTGATAAGGTACAATTATGGACAGATTCTTCATCTATGTCAGTCAGACATTAAAGTATTTCATATTCTTTCTTTTCATCATGGATTCTTACTAGAAATACCTAGGTTTCCACCCATTTTAAAAGCAAAACCAGAAACAATAGTATTTTGGTCACTGAAAATCTAAGAGGCTTCTGCATTCAGTAAAACAATGCTGCTTCACAACAGCATGCAGGACCACTGCAATGTCATTACATTACACAATCATTAAATAATTTCCAGATTTAAAAAAGGGCGGGCACAACAATCTGCTATTTCCTCATCACATGTAATGGACAAAATTTATATGATAACAATTTAGACTCAAACTTTACATGAGTAAAACTGTCCCCTTGTCTGTGCACAGAAGACAGCTTTTCTTTCTTTGCTAAAATAGCTTTGTCCCAGAAGTAGCTTTCAATGAAATGTTCCCCCATTAAAGGATACCACCACTATAAATACTTACTGGAAATAAAGTGTTAAATAAATTATGAAGGCTTAATAGAAGACTTGCCCTCTCCCTCAGATTGACTCTCAAACTACTCATAATTAACTATAACAATCAGTATGATCCTCAAATATTAGCTAATAAAAATGCTAACAGAAGCCACGAGAATTAAGAAAAACTTACCAGTCAGAAAGGCAGAATAAATATTCAAACTATACCAAAACACAGGAAAGCATCATAACCACAAAATAATCAAAACCATACATATAGCTTGAAAGAATCTCAAAATATTTTTATTCCTTTCTTACCCTAAAGGACACGGAAAAAAGAACTTCAGCTTCTCTCCCCTCCGTATCATGGGAAAGAAGTTTTATGTTTCCATCTTCATAATTACTACTTTTATCTTTTCAGAAGTACAGTCACCTATTTCCAGCTGAAACCAATGCATTTATTATTAACTTAAGCAAGGAGAATTTGGACTTCAAGTCATTAACGATTTCAGAAATATAGGTTGGATGATCTATAATTAGCATTCCTGATGATTTAAACATGGTTTGATGATTACTAAATTCATCATCTTTAAATAAACACTTCTGACTCAGCATCAGCAAAATAGAGACATTTTCATCAACTAATTTAGCCTAAGACTTTTTGGCAAACAAGAATAGGAAAGAACCAATAGCTTTATAAGATCAGTGAAGGCAGGAGTAGACATGCAGCTATGTTAACAACTAGAAGGGAAAATATTATCATGAAACTGAATCCAGAATCACTGCAGACGTGTTCCCATACCCCAGTGCTTTGCATTTTAAAGTGACTAATCAGAAAGCAGACACTACATAGACAAGAAAAAAGTCCTTATCTAAATATTCAGGTAAGTGACCTGCCCTTTTTTAATTATGATTAAATACTAACACACATTACAAGTCAAGCTGTATCTTGTAGAAACTCACAGAATATAAAATGGAAAACATTTATTTTAGTACTTAGTGGTCAAAGAGGATGAAGCTAATGACTTCAGAATCAAAGTTTAAATCCTATAATGGAGCCACAGTATTCAGCTGCCAGTGATGAGCAGGAGACTTCTCAGGAAGTCACCTGCTAAGTGAGCCAAGAAACAAAACAAATTAAAAGCACTGTGTACCCATAGTGGAAGAATGTACAAAGGGTGAAAGAACACATGCCCATTACGATCCTCAGCAAACACACAAAAACCAGAATGAGGCACCACAATTATTTCATCAGTTCACTGTTGTCCAGAACTCAGACCTTCTCACAGCTCTCAAAGATCTGACCCATGTTTAACAGCCAGAGCCAGAACATTACAGGTCATCTGAACTTCAAAATCTTTTTTGCAATACACTGGTGTCACACAAGGTTGACTGTCAGTCTTTCTAAACTCTCACACAAGGATCTGTTCAAGGATAAATATAATCCTTTACACTAGGTAACTGATAATATACACACCCCCAATAATTAGTTGCACAAATTAAGAACACAAATCATTTTGCATTTCAGGTCTTAAACTCTGTTTTGCCTACAGACTCCTTAGAAACCTGGTTTGCACACATGTTCTTTCCCAGAGATTCTTCTGCTGAAGTTAGTATCTGTTTGTTTGGCTTTTTTACTTACAGATAAGGCACTTCTAATTTTCAAAAACTCATCTAAATTCTTTAGATTTAGGACCCTTCCTTCCATCTTCATGATGCAGGCATTCCATCCTACGTATTTTGAATGAACTCATTCTTTTCAGATTCAGTAACCCTCTCAACCTTTAAATATTGCATTAACTTACCCCACATTAAGATATCAGAGACTTTTAACTCTCTTTTCTACTGTGTTAAATCAGTCTTCAGCCACTGGGCCACATACTGCTCCCCTTCCGATTTTTTACCAATATTTAAATACCAGTATTTTAAATACCAGTATTTTTACCAGTGTGTCATACATTACTTTGCATGAAGCAAACCATTCCTCATTTTCCCCCTACATCAGTTGCTTTAAAACAGACGAGACATTAGAATGACGCCAAATGTCTAACGTGAGCTTCTTCAGAGATCTGACCTGATTTCAAAAACAAAATAAATAAAAAAGCAGACAAGTGTCTCTCTACTGGGTACAAGAATGTGGCTGAATATACTAGCAACCTATAGTGCCTGTGACATTTTGAAACAGCCTTGCAGCACAGTGTCTGAAGCTTCACAGAGCACAACAGCATCAAACATTTATTCATGATTGCTTCAAGTAGCTTTCCACTTTTCCTGGTTTCCTGTATCAAGGCTGTTGAGATTTTTTTTCTTTTTTTTTGACTGATAGGTATTTCCTCCAGCCAAACAGGTGGCTGAGAGAAGTCACCAAAGTATTTTTTAAAAAACTTGTCAACTTGTGTAAGTTTAGACAATATTACTAACTAACAGTTTAAATATCTGGAAGGTTTTATGAATGATGGCTTTTCTTCAGATGAAGTTTCTTACATCATTGCAGAGAAACTTATTACAGACTTAATACAGTTTGCCATCTTCACTAAATCAAAATAGAGAACTATCCCAGAAAATGGAGACACTTAAATATATGCTGCTTGTATGGATACTGCTTGAGGATACACATACATGGAAAAGGTTTCAAGGTCAGATCTAGGACCCTGAATTTCCCTAAGTTGCCTCAAAACAAAGTGCAACAGTAATAAATCACAATGTACTACCAAAAAAATTTCATTAACAGTCTGAAAATGGACTTAGTAGAGTTCTAGCAGGGGAACAATGCTGTCCAACACCATGTGCCGTACTTCATAGCTGTATTTTAAACCAGATTTTATATTCTGAATTGTATATATGTTCTAAATTAGTTATAAATGGTGTATGCTCAGACTTCTGACTTTCTGTAAGCCCCAGCATCTGTAAGTCTTTACACTGAAATTATTTCCCATTATACTACAATTTCTCTTACGTGGTTCACCAGTGCAGTACATTTATAAACCGGAATCAGTATCTCCTGAAATAAATTATCTCAGAGGATCATTTTGAGTTTTGAATAAGGGGAGATTTTTCTCAGACCCACAGCCCTTTACTAGTAGCTGCCGAATCCAGCAGCCCAACAGAGGCGCCACAGCCCCAGGGTCTGGCCTGGCAGGGAGGCTGAGCACAGTTCCCCACAGGCACACACAAAACACGTGCACAGCACACACACGTCTGGCAGCACAGGTCACTGCAAACTCAGCACTTCGGTAAATAGAGCCAGCACCAACATCCTCTTCCCGCTGCCTGGGGTGAAAGTCCATTGGAAGAGAACGCACAGATGTGCGCCTGCACTCACACAGTATAAGCGGCCCTGTAACTGGCCTTGGGCTCGCTCGCAGTTTGCCCAGCAGCTGGGGTCTGCCCAGCTAGCAGCACAGAGCACACCAGCCCTCATGGCCCCACTCTGGGTGCTGGTACTCAGGCCCCCTCACAAACATGCAGACACTCATTACAGAGCCCTCTGGGATGTGGCCTTGGACCCTCTAGCCCAGTGCCTCCCGTTACTTCATGCACGGATACACAAACTAACGGGGCTCTCGGCCCAGAGTCTCTGCAGCACTTGGCCTGGACTCCCAGTTCCTCCAGCCGTATCATACAGATGCACACAGGTTTTTTTCTGGACTTCATGGCCACTCCCAGGTCTCTCCTCCTACTCCCTCTCCCCTTCATTGTCCTCAGTCATTGCACTGCACGCACATCCCCTCACCTGACCCCGCCATGTGGGTCCTTGTGACCCATGGTCAGACTCGAGCTGCTGGCACTGAGACCCCTACAGGCACACAGTGTTGAGCCCCTTACACAATAAAACAATTAAGAGTTTAATGAGACTGCACTGATGAAGCCAGGGCACGGCCTCACAAACATACTGACCAGCCACCTGCTTACACACAAGCATCTCCCTTTGCTCCTCTACTTTACCCATGGTTCATTCCCCATAAAGTCACTGATCCCTCCTTTCCCCAAGCTTGTCCCTTCCCCGAACATCCCATTCTGAGCTGTGTACAATTCCAAAATGTTCTTACCTGCATCTCGCCCCTTTCCAGTCTGCAGCTAACCTCTGTTAACTCAAGTGTCTGTCACCCAGGTCCCCACGGGCTGATAATCTCCAGTGACAGGCAGTGGCAGGAGCCAGGTCATGAGGCTCACTTATCTGACGAGGTTACCAGGCTCCCCCCGCCTGCTGCTGTGCCTCAGGGCTTTGCTGTGCGCACGGAGACAAGCCTTTTAATCACATAACCTATCACCCTTAATATTTCCAGGCTGAACATCCAAAGCCATTATGAGGGTATTTATCAAAGCCATGAAAATAACATTTCAAAGTTCAAAGCTAGTGTATTTGGAAAACCATCATGTTCACCACTTGCTTCAAGTTGTGGGGGTTTAGATTAAAAAACACAGGCATATAATTTATCACATTTACTTATTCAAGTTGTTGCTCTTAAGTGTCAGGTGCTGGCTCATGTGTAATCCCAATAAACGTTTTCCAACGGTTATCAGGACACTTAAGTAATACAAAAAGCACCACATACCTTGTTGACCATATCGTATTATATTTGCTTTATAAACACTCAGGACTGTTAATGTTATTGCTAAGTAACTGGATGATCTACCATACAGTATTTGCATAGCACTGTCTATCAGCAAATAAATGACTTTGAACTCTTTTAGTTCACAATTCACAGAACTACACACCTAACTAACACTGAAGTTTTTTTAAAACTTTTGATAAATTATCCAATTGTCTGGATGACAAGAACTTATTCACCACTAGTATTTAAGAAATTTGAACTGAGATTAAAAAACATGGGAGGTTTGGGTTGTATAGGAGATAAGAGGAAAGCTGAAGTCTAATTAGACAGCAGCTCAGCAAGGCAGAACTAGAACCGCAGACATAATCTGGAATTCACAAAACACCATTTTATGCCTAGAAGGTGAGAGAACTCATCACTCCTTACCTAGTGGTTACAGTAGCTGCAAAATGCAAATATGTTAATGTACAGAAAAACAGTTAGTCAGGAGAAAAATAATTAATTAGAAAATGGAAGAGGAACAGACAAAGAGGAAGCAGGGCTGGGTTTTTATGTTACAAGTTAAAAGCTGTTCCACTGCCTCCTACATATGGCCTTCTCCAGTAAGCCTGTGCTCTCCTTCACAAGTACACGTGGTGATAGCTGATCCTTCTTCCTTATCATTTTCTCTGAAAAGCAGAGGTTTTATTTGAATCAAAACCTCACTATTTCCAAACTATTTGATCCCAATGACATAATGTACAACCTAGCAAAAGAGCTACTGTTACTGAATTACTTTTGACACTCCCCCTTCCCAAGTCTCACTCTTAAATGGCTCATTGCCTTGTACAAAACATTATACAGAAATTCATATTCTGAGGGAGCAATGAGCTTGGCCAGACAAGCTGAAGGAGAAAGCATGGCTGGACAAGACCACTAAGGGCAAGCAAAACAGGCTTTTGTATGGGAGCAAGTTTGTAAAGGCTGAACTTCAGTGAAGGGCTTTGAAAATCTGACTTAATAAACAAAACACACTCTCAGCACTGCAGTGATGAGCTGAAACCCTGTCTGACACTGCTATGGAAAGGTCAAACATACAGCAAGAGTCAGCATATGGTTTTAAATGCCCCATTCCTCCATGCAGAAGCATCATCTCACTTCAGTGGTGTAAGCAGCCATACACCAGCTGAACGGCAGCAGGAGGAGCTCACATATTCCCATTTGTGAGGTCAAAACAGTGGGTAATTTTAGAACTACTCCACAAGAGACACATTAAAATAGATGAATGACAGGAATTTGGAGCAGTGGGTGTGACTACAAAAATTCTGATTACCAAGTGTCTGGAACTGAATGCTCTACTAGCTAGAGAATCATCCAAATATTAGTTAGGCAGGTTTTCTAAACATGGAGCTCCAAAAAGTCTATGGCCACCCACACAGCCATATGTTTAGGTTATACCAGACATTCCTAACAACCTGCCTTATTTTTTTGTTTGATCTTTCCCTCATCATTATTCATTTCCCACCTGTACTATTACCAGAGAAGCCGTGGCATCAGTGTTTGCAGCCTAAAGCTCAACACAGATATAAGCACAAAAACCTCGCACAAGAGGATAAGATAACAGATTTAAGCTGCTTTTGCAAAACACATTGACCTCTTAGCATAGTTTGGGAAGGTCCAAGGACAGAGAATTTCTTTTCTATATTAAACATGAGAGAGGAAGTTTCAGATTGCTTGCAAAGCCAACATTACAACAGCTGGGGCAGCTGGAGGAAGAACTGGCCAGAACAATGTCCTACCCACCAAGTGGAAGTGGGCTGCCTAAACAGAAGAATATTGCTACGCTTTAAAAAAGGAAAAAAAAAACTTCCAGGGCAATGCTCTTAAAATCTTGGCCATCAGCAAGAATCAGAAGTAGAAAGAGTAAGGCTGAATGAAGAGAAAGGACAACTCCCTACCTCTCCCAGCCCTACAGTGCCTACTTAACATGCACTGCGCATTAGCAAAAAGACATTCCAAGCAGATGAACAGCTTCTTCCAGGCTAAACAGTTCTATAAAACAATGCACGTATTAAATTATATATTAATTAATATTTATTAATACATATATGAAATCTGGCATCACACAGGCCTAAAGTCTCTGTGGATAACAAACTATACATCAATTCTGTCTCTAAGTTAAAATGTAAGCTATTCTAGAGACTACATCTCTGAATTTTTCCAGGGAGAATCAGAAGGAAGTGATACAAGACAGAAGCTTTTAAGTACATTATATATGCTTAATCAGATTAACAGCCATGGGTTTTTAAATCCTATCATAAACCAACATTATATTTCAATATAACAATAAAAGAGAACGGAAACAAAGCTCCCACCATCAGTGTCAATGGAGAACTACTCACATATTGATAAACTAGGATTACTTTAGAATTTGAATGTGATAGCATCAAATTTGTAACAGTTTAATGCCATTATCAAAGTAACAAATTGTACCAAAATTAATGGCAGGTCCTGACACATCCAATTATGCTAGAACTTGGATATCACCATGATAACATGAAGGCATAAAAAGAAGCCTTTCAAAAAACTATCTTTAGATACATGTAGTAGTTATGCATGGCCTAAAATACTCAGAGGGAAGTATTACTGAAAAAAAAAGAATGTTATCAATTTCTGTGATGATGATCAGAGAAACACAAAATTTAAAATTTTCAAACTGCTGAGATTTCAGCACTCCGAAGAATGACTGTCCACCAAGAGCCTGTTATATCAACACTATTTTCATTACTATTTGTGCAGACTTTCATATAAAAACATGTGTGCTACGTGGTTCAAAGTAGACATATGATAGAAGGAAAACAAGTCTAAATGGCTCAGAGATCATTTCCTATACTGAATTACACTTTCAATCCTACTTTAAAAGGCAGTCAGCAAGACAGCAGTAGATTTCTTCAGTAAATTGTGATTCCTTTGTTTTAACAACTAACCTGTTAAGAACTTTTAGCTGGTCTACGTAATGTCAAAATAAGCTTTAGAAAAAAAGGTTTTTTGTCAAACACAAGAACTCCAGTCTCAGATGTGTGCTAGCACAACTCAAAAGTTACAACCAAGCTGTGTAACGTTGTCATGCATCTGCATAAGCAGAAATAATTTATTTCAGCTTGTGAAGCACCATCTGCAAGCAATAAACTTCTCTATCTTATTCTGGCATCCAGAAACATGACTAATGGCCTTTCACACAAAAGATATGCAGCTGGAGAAGGTGCCAAGATAAACCTGGAGTACTTGTGTTTATTGTACCACATCTTACACAATTATTAAGAGTTCCCAGGAACTCTTAGCCTCTCCTGAAGTGTCTTCCTTCTCCCTACACATGCCCCAGTGACAACATCTAACATGCTGTAACAAACAGGTTTATTATAATCCAAAACCTGTTAATATGCTCCAGATTTCTAGGTGAAATGTTAGAACAGACCCAATTAACAGCACAAGAAGGACTGCTTAATCTGGGGGACAAATTAAGCATTTGGGGGAAAAGCACTGCCCTGTGTACTGCCATCCTTCCAAGTAAGAGCAACGCTAATTAAGCACATGTTTAGAGTCAGAAGGTACCATATAATTTGCAAGAGGTACGTACCGCAGGTGACTATGTCAACCAGAAACACCAGCCTGCCCTTCAAGGGTACATCAACTCACAACAGCATAAATCAAAACAATGAGTACTAAGAGGTTAAGATTCCACAACTTGGTAACAGTGTTGGATAGTACCTGTCCATCCATGAACACCATAACATCTCCACAAAAATTCAGCAGCCGCCTCTCAAGGCGGCTTTCTTTCACTTTCAACTTGCAATAGTCTACCATTCTATGAAATTAAGAGTGGCATTAATGACTCCTCTTGAATTCTTAGATGAATAAAGATCTTTTTATGAAAAATCTTTTTACGAAAAATCTTTTTACAAATGGCCTCAGGACTAAAAAGCACCTTCTCAAAACAGAAATCTTTAGTTCATGCTCTTCAGCAATTGAATCTACTTCTAAAGCATAAGGATTTAAAATTATTCTCCCTTCCAGTGGGACCTTTAGTATTGCAAGTTTCACTGAACTAACACTCGGGTATTAAGCCACAGGAGTGGCAAAGCCACCTCTTGTCTAGCAAGTCTAGCATTGTTTTATAAAACATTGTTTTATAAAACATTGTTTATAAAACATTGTTTTATAAAAACATTTACAGAACGAGGCTTACACACTCAAACTCATTTAAAAGCTTCACCTTTAAACAAATTAGTAACATACCTGTTGCTCATTACTGCAACAGCTACCATGAGCAAGCAGATTCAGCAACATTATTTCTGTGAATTCTGCAGCTTAAGACTGAGGACTAAAACCACCAAAAAACTCCAAATGGTTTAGAAATCCACACTGCTTACATAAGGCATCTCTTTAACTTGTAATGCACATCACTGACCACCAAAACCATGTTAATACTTTGTTTAAAAATGAAAGAATTAACTGACTTA